TAAAATTGTAAAGAAAGATAAGCAGGTAGAAATGTTAACCCTTAAAACCCTAACCCAAGTAAAAACAGTTTAAACTTGCAAGAAGCATTTTTAATTTTTTTTTTTTAGCTTATACTATGTGAATGGGAACAAGTAAGAAATATAAAATAGATGTTATCCCAATTTGGCTGTGAAAGTGGAAACACACTTTAAATTCCTCATAGTTTATAATATGTAACTGTGGTCAGATGACATACATCCCCTTCACTTCCCACCCAAAAGGCATCAAGAGGAAGTAGAAATAGCATTATGCATAATCTGCTCCCAGATCTATGAGACAGTAGGAGGGGGTCCCACCAAAATCTTGTGCGCTTTGGCTCCTAAATCCCAAAGGGCCCTGGATATGCTGAACAGTCCTGAATCCATCTCTGGAATATAATAAATAGGTATATTAACTATATAAACAGGAACCTAATGTGTATTTAAAATAAAGTTAGATTTTTCAGTGTACTGATTAGGCACAGTTAACACTTCTAAATGTTTCCTATAATATAACTTTCACACTTACCTCTCCCAGAGCTGGGTCTCCTATCTAAATCATGGCCAATGGCACTTTGGCACTTCAGGGTTAGTCCCAGAGTGCCAGCACTGTGACCAATCAGGAGCCATGTCTCTAGATTGGCACCATTGCCAATCAGGACCTAACTGTTCAAGCAACACATCACTACACCTATGCTGAGCCCCTTTCTGCCAGTGCCCAGTGTCTTCCCTGCCTGCAGCTTCAGTCTCCCCCATGTTGTCTTAAACCCACTGCGCTCCAGAGTTCTGGTGCTTCATCTGTGCTTGCCTCCAGCCCTCATTGTTTCACCATGTCACCTCAGCTGTCAGTGTTCGTTATACCTCTGATCTCAGTGCTCCCCGGTGTGCCTTGAGACTCCAGTGCACCCAAGAGCATCCTGTGTCATCTAGTGACCCTTTTGTGTCCCTGTGCATCCTGTGTCTCCAGTGCAACCCAGAGCAGTGCCATTTTGTGGCTTCAGTATGCCCCGAGACTCTAGTGCATCCTGTCATCTAGTGTACCCCGAGTGCCCCTGTGCATCCTGATACTCCAGTGCAACCTAGAGCAGTGTCATCTAGTGGCCCAAGTACTCCCTGAGACCCCAGTGCATCCCAGAGCATCCTGTTATCTAATGACTCCCAGTGCACCCTGTGTGCTTTTGTGGTACCTGTGTCTCCACACAGTTGTCTGGCCTGAGAGTACTGACCACTGTCATTACTCTTTGCTGCCTCTCTGTCCTCAGATATGCTTCTGCAGTCGCTCTTTTCTCAGTGGATTTGGCCATTCTTTGTTCAGTTTAAGAAGATGAAGGCTGAATCCAAATAGCTCTTGTGTATTCAGTCTTTCAGCGGAATATGCAGTATTGTGCCACACGTTGACACACGTGAGTATGACCATATGGACGAGAATAATAAAAGGATATAAATTATGGTTTACAATTTCAGGTTGGATTAACTGATTTTGTTTAATTAAGACAACAATTTTACAAAACAAATCACAAAAGAACTCGCAAGGATGGAGCAGATTTGGGATTCTGAGGGTTAGTAATAACCCTGTGAGTGATTGCTGCATTCTGAATTTACAGAGTGGAAGAGGATTGAAGGGAAGGAACGTTAATGCTGCTGCCAGGACTGCCAATATAGTGAACCTGTTGCGTTGTCAGGCATGGACACAGCGCAGGTTCACTGGTAGTATGTAGATTCACAAGTCTGTAGATTCAGCAGACTTTATATTACGTACAGAGAAAGTGTTTCCTAGATAGCATTATCAGTTGACTGATTTTATTTCTTGCCTGCAGTTGCTTTTTTATGGTATGAATTTTTAAAACACCAGATATTTGCTAACACAGTACAGCTATTCTGTACTGAAAAAATATATATTTTCCAAGTGCTTTTTTCCCAGTGAAAATAATGAACTGACAAGCCTGTTTATCTTTAATTCCATCCTTTTTCTCACAGTTAAATTCCATTCGTTCAGACATCGGTTTTCCTTAGTTCTCTCTGCCGGAGGTGATTTTTCCACATATTCAGAAATGCTCTGCATTCTGTGAATCAATACATTTATACAATGCTCTAAGGCAGTGAGCCTGTAAATCCATCGGAATGCCTAATCGGATGCTTACAGTCTGCTGTGAATGTATCTTCCCGGAAATGTTTCTTTTTTTTACAGTGGAAATGTACTGGCACATTGTGTTCTTGCAGCCGGTAGTGTAGCTTGATACATCTAAGTTCCATTGCAAGAGTCAGTGTCCCTAACTGCCAATCCCATACTAGCATCCTATGTAGTAGTTCCCCTTTAACATACATTCCATATTAACTACTGTTTCTAAAACCCCTAATCCTTATGACTTTTTATTCCCACCCAATGAAAACCCCTCACTCACAGCGCTTATAACTCCCTCCACCTTCCAGGAGAAACAATTGAAAGCTACACTAGTCAAAATGATGGTGATGGAGAGGGTGATTAGATATGGCTAGGTAGGCTCTTTGGAATCCTCAGGAACATGATCTGGTTAATCCTACACAGCTGCTAACTGCAGATCCACAGATGCAGTCAGGGGAGGTACCATGTAACTACAAATTACTGCTTTTTTGGGGACCAAACGTTTAGTTGGGGGTGTGTTTCCATGGCTGGCAGCCCCTTTAACCACTGGAAGCCATGCAACTCAGGGCATCATCACTGCGAGGTTCCCTTTCTTCCTCGGCCCTGCATTGATAGCCTGACAGAAGAGGGAGCACTGCTGTCTCTAGCCCTTTTTTTGCTTTTAATGAAGCTCCTTTATTGCCATTAGTGTGTTGTGGTGTTGTTGGGTCCAGTTACAGGGCAGGCCATCACTGGAAGCGGGAGGAGAACCCTTAGTTTTCCAGCGGGGGGTAGTGTTACATGTACATCAGATGTGAACTCTTAGAAAGGCTTATGCTAACAATTGACCATGTGTGACTTTAAAAAGACACTGTCATTTTGCCATTTGTGGCAAAATGACAGTATGTTGGAAAAGCCCCCCAACCCACTGACAGTCCCCTCTTCCCTGCCTCTCCTTTCTCCATTATAGCCACTGCACTAGTGTTTCCAGATATGGCCTAATCCCCATTACTTGGTCCAAGTAATGTTACAAGACCATACCATACCTCAACTTTCTGAGATGAGAAGGAGGGACATCTTCTAGCGCAATGTATTTAGTCAGTGGACATACCCCCAGTTATGGAGACTATTACGAATTTACGTCTCGAAAATGATTGGTTTAACCCAGAATTGATTTTTTCCACCATTACTTTTCCTTTATACTGGCTTCTCAAACTAGCAAATAAAATAGTAAAGAGACAGGATGAAGTCTGTAGTGCATGGTAAAACATTAAACTGTTACAAAGTAAATTTTCATAGATATCTTTACATCACTCCACAAAGAGGAACAACTAAGGAGAAAAGGGACAGAGGGATTTGGTTGCAAACAAGGGACAGCCCCTCCAAATGAGGGACAGTCGGAAGGTATGTATGATGGATGCCAGGACTTCACCGCTCCTTCTAGTCTCAGACCCCATCTTACAGTCCTGCTCCATCTAGTTGAAAGAGATCATGAAAGATTTATATAAAAATGTACAAGGAGAAGATTTCCTCATGTTACCATAGAGATTGCGTTTCCTGGATCACAGTAGCAGTTTACTGTATAATTTTACTTGTTGACTTGGTGACAACACCCCCAACTAAAGAGTTGCTCTGTAATGCTGGCCCCACATGATATGGTTATCATTTGATCCTGTTGTCATTTTGTTCTTAAAAATGTTTTTCTTTTACATGTTCTTCTTTTTATTGCAAAATTAATAGTTTAAAAAAATCAGTCCTATGTGCACAGAGTAACACGTATGATTAAGTACATTCTCACATTTCCTTGTATGCAATAACACTATCGATGTGCATTTCTAAAGCTCATTAATGTGTGTATTTCTTGTGCTTTTGCGAAAGCTTGGAATTATTATTATTATTTTTTTAAAGGTGGTATGTAGTAAAAGCACTAGTAAAATGATCATGTGCTATCATTCATTCTCTGGGCTCCTTTATAGTATGCTTCATCAGGAAATAATAAAAGTGAAGAATGTTTTTGACATACTTTACATTGGAATCCTGTGATCTACACATGTAAATTTTGTTTTGTTCCAAATGAATATTCATAAAATTTTGTTAAATTCGGACATTCGGATGCATCTGATTTTCTGAAATTGAATGCGTCTGAACGCAAACGAATCCGAATGTTCCTTTAACAAAAATTTGGATCTGTCTGAATTTCATTCAAACTAAATCAGTGACTGTACTCTGGGTTATTCACAAAAGGGTGAAGAGTTTGGAGAAGGCAGGAGAAGTGACAAATATAGGACAACATAGCTGAACTGGAAAGTGGGCTGATTTGAAGGATTTTTCCAAATCAGTTATTTTGGCCTAGATTGTTCACTTCTTTATAAAATACTATTTCCCCCTTTTTTATCCATTTTTGGATGCTCGTTGTCTAGCTGTCATGGTGAACCTCTGGATCACTGTTCTGGAATAAATATGCAGATAGGAAAAGTCAAAGTAAAGAGAGCACTGTTTAGTTGCATGCTTGTCCTTTGTTCGTTACTCAAAATTAAGCCAGAGAGCCAAGATGACAGTTAGGCTAACATTATTTACAGAATGAGACATAACCAATGGCAGCCTCCATGTTTCTCTTGGGAAAGGGTTGTGTTAAAACATTTCTAAGGCTAAGCATTCTAAGGCTTTATTAACTAGTGGCTGTAGGTTGCTACACCACCCCCCACTCCATTAAATTGTTCATAGCCCCCTGAATAATGTCATACAACATATAGAAAGGGAACGTGTCTCCTGTAATTGAAAATGTCAGATGTTTGCAGTGATGTAATGCAATGTCAGCCTGTCATGAAAGCTGCCATCCTAGTGATAATGTCTTTCTCTCTTCTTCTGCATGCTTGTCTAGTCTCGACAGACACCCGAGGGTGAGTTCCTCCCTCTCGATCAGCTGGAACTGGATGTAGGATTCAGCACAGGGGCCGATCAGCTTTTTCTGGTTTCCCCTCTTACAATCTGCCACGTGATTGATGCCAAGAGCCCCTTCTATGAGCTCTCCCAGCGATCCATGCAGACGGAGCAGTTTGAAATTGTTGTCATCCTGGAGGGCATAGTGGAAACCACTGGTGAGTTCCCTTTTTATTGCCTAATCTGTATCAGCTGTTTAGAAAGGAACCATTTGGTATAAACAAGGACAACAATGTCAATTTATGTGCCAGGTTGCCCCAGTTTCTCTCAGATGAAACAAATTTTTTAAAAGATAGGCGATCATATATTTTTGAGTTTTTATTTTAAGAGAGCCTACCACTTTTATAACATCTTATTCATCAATGAGTTTGACCCAGATCGTGACTTTTCTGACATATTTTGTGTGACACACAAAATGGCTATTAAAGCTTCTTCTTTTGATGAAAACCATTGGCTTTACTCTCATATGGGAGTCTGTCCTACAATATGTTTTTTAAATTCCCCTGTTCTATGGCAGTCTAACCTCCTTGATGTCCCCTCCTTGCAAAAAAGTAAAACTAAAGCTATAATAAAAATAAGAAATCCCCCCTAGGACAACAGTATACAGTACATTGCAAATGTTTAGCATTACTGAAAAAAGGAGAAACTCAAAGCATCCAGTCTGACCTCATTTTGTGATGGTCTGACTTTAGAATATGCAATCATTAATGTTTGCTCTGGGCCACTGTAAAATTTCTCTGTAAACTCTCCTAACCCATTGATACTCACCTCTCCATTGATCCCCCGCAGCTCCTTTCTTCAATGCATCCCGCACCAAAATATTCTGTGTAGGCTGGTGTCAGAGCCTAGAGAAAATAGTGTATAGCCCTCTCTGTCATGTGACAGTGTCTGGACCTATCAATTGACTACTAGGCCTGAGTACTACACCATGGCAAAAATACTCCCCCTTACCCAGAAGAACCTGGTATTTCGTGTTGGTTGATAGCTAGAGGGTTTATTGTATTTTTCTACCTACATTGTGTGTCTTTATTGACACTTAGAAAAGGCAGCGGCAGTATAATGGATGAATTTAAGTTAAAACCAAGTGTGAGATTGAAAAAAAAATAGTGTTAATATGGTATTAAATGTTCAGTACTGACACTCTTTAATAAGGGAACAATATAGGCCTTGTTCTTCCAGAGCTACAGTAAACTTTACTAGTGAACTCCTACTAAAGTAAATATAACAGTGTTCGATTCTAAAAGAATGCAGATGATGCAAATTTTTAATCTAATTTAATCTAAATTCAGGCTCATCAAGCCAATTATACAAGCCTGGGTATTCAGAGAAATCATTATAACAAACTGTACTTGTGGTTTGCTGATCTACGGATATATACGTTGACATGCAGTGTGCCCTGCGGCAACCTCTGTTAATCATAGAGATAGATGAAGGTCTGTAGGACACCACTGACTGTTGTCAAAGTCAGCACACAAGAGCAGGTATTAGGATCTTGGATCATGATTCCTCATCTAAGGGTACTATTACATACTAAATGGCTTGTATGGCAGTTATATATGTTGTATCAATTTATGGGTGAGTAAAGCTAAAGTATGAATGTTATACATCTTTTGTATATAGGAGGAATGACGCACAATGGACCCTGTAGGCGTGATCTCCAGCCAATAATCAAGCCTGTTTTTTCAATGAAAACATATATTTTGTGTATAGTTTGCAAAAGAAATTACATACAGCTCCATTCAAACCTCTGCAGGTGTTCTTAAACATACATTTTAAGTATATCTAAAGTACAAACTGGTTACACATTTAAAGTGACTCCAGATCCTAAAAAAAGAAAATCTAAGGCCCCATTTTGCGCGATATCGCGCGATTTGAAAAGCATTGAATCGCGGCAAAATCCGCTCCAAAAAGGGTCCTGCTATAGCCACGCACGACCCGCGACAGCAGGACCCTTTGCCCCATTGCCATGCATCGGAGAGCGATATTGCGCGGTAAATAGCCGCGATATCGCGGGAATTACCGTGCGATAAATCGCTCAGTGTGAACGGGGCCTAAAGCTGCTAGCAGGCATAAAATGGAGGCTCCTAGAGGGACCCACATGCCGCACCTCATTCCCGCCTCATGCTTGCCACAGCCAGACCCGCCCGCATCCACGCTCCACA